TTTGTTTAAAAAAATTTATTCAATTTAATCAAGTTTTGGTTAAGTTATTGGTGTGTAAAGTTTTAAAAAAAATTCAATAAAAATAATTTGCTTGATTTCTATTAACTCACCCCCATATATATATATATATATGTATATATTTTTTGTAATAATGTCAATTACCAATAAATTATAATACCGGCATTCAATGCCTTTAGAGTAGGAAATTGTCTCATATATTGAAAATCCAGGTCTAGGTAAAAGGATGTTTTGACCTTCGTTACACAGAGCACCGATCGCAAGATTCAATGCATCCGAAGCACCACTACCTATTACGACATCCTAAATTTGCAAGGTGCAATGTTGAATTTTAATATAATTAACATACTTGGTTAATTACAAAATTAAGCATACCCTTGAAGTTAATGGCGCTTCTTCTGTTGAAAACTTTTTAGCTAGAGCTTTTCGTGCCTCATCACAACCTTAACAAAACGTTAAAGTCATCAGCTCTATTTAAATAAAATATTTGAAATGTGTAAGGACTCATTACCAATCGCAGGTGGGTATCCATTCGCTTTATATGATTGTAGTTGCTTTATTACGGCGTCAATGCAATTCCCATGAATTTTGAAATTTTCAAACCGAGTTGGATCACCTATTTATTGGAGATTAGACATTTCTAAATTTGAATAAAAACTATTCTAAAATTACCTAATGCTAAAGAGATAAGTTCTTTGTCGGGATTTGGTTTAGCCTGCATTTTATAAATCGTTTCACGAATTGGATTAATGGTTCGTTTGGATACGATTGAGGCAGGAACACGCCATTTTGAGCGGGATGTCGCAATATTTTTTACTTTATCATTAAAAGCGTCTTCTGATCGGTCATTGATAGACATCTTTAAGAAAGCAGTATGGTGAGGCTGTGGGACTCTCAATACCGATATTATAAAATACTAGCTTTTATATTTTTAGAGGTTACTAGTAACTGCGTGAGCTGATTTACATATTCGTGTAAGAAGTAACCAATCAAAATGCAGAAAGCAGACATAGTAACAATAACAATAACGATCTATTATTAGTATAACCTGTTGGATCTAAAGACCACGAAAATATATTAATTAAAAATCGGAAAACCAGGCTTTAGACGTCCCCTAATTTTAGATCACGGCTAATATACAAGATTTAAAAAGATGGTATCGACAAAAATTTTATTATCGTTATGTAAATCTATATTTTAAATGTCAAATTATGCCTACTTTATACGTAGGGTTAGGGGCACGGAAAATCATCACACGGGGCACGGCATAACACCCTAAATCATCACATGATAATAATTA